ACAGCGAGCTGACGGCGCTGAAGCCTCGTCTGTGCGACGCCTGCAGAGCCTGAAGGTTCAAAACTCCTCTGGATGCTTCAGGGCTGCGCTTCTCATTGGACAGCAGTGGCGCCATATATGGCAACGATTAAGTGTTTGCAGCATCACCCCTGACATCCAGCTCCATGCAGCAGCTGCATCACCTCTAACGCAGCTAATGAAAGGAGGAGCTGCTGGACAAAACATTAAGAACATCATGGCAGACGAGGTGTGTTTGTTTTTAACAAACTTCAGTTATTCACTCTGTAATTATTGTGTGAATGCAACTGTTACTCATTTTTATTATTCTGAATAATGCATTTGTTCCTGTCCTTCTCCCTAAAAACTCCCTAAAAGTCAGATGTGAACTGTTACAGAAACTATAAGAAATGTTAGTTTTGGTGTTTGTGTTTCTTCTTTTTTCTTGTGTTATTTACTGCACAATAGTCTTACACGCTGCAGGATGATGCCAATGAAGCTAAAAGAGCTGTAATCGTTTATCTCAATGAAGACCCAGAACAAGGAGAACATGGTAAGTTTAGTGACCTCTGCTCTCCACAGATTTAGCTTTTTAAATGTTGTGATGATGTTTACATTTTTAAAAAGTGTAATTTATTATTAATTATTCACTCTTTTCCTCATTGATATTAACAAAGTATTTTCATTTCTTTCTGGGATCAGAACAGATGTCCACAGAATAAACCATGTTGGGGCACAGACATGCAGAACATCTGTTCTTCCCTCAGGACAATTAAAGATCTCTTCTCACCAACATTAAGATTTTATAGACTAACGTTTAACAAATGTTTTCAGGGATGTGCTGTTGAGTTTTCCAGTGTAGCCTTTGTCTTATCCATGGCTGGGAACAGACACCAACAAGCCAAACGTGGATATTAGCACAGCTGGAAGCTACACCAGATATTTGCTGTGGTTTGTGTTCCTGCTGAAGGTTTATTTCTTTTGTTTTTGAGGATGCTGAGCAGAACCAGGAGGCAGATCCTGGGAATCTTACCATTAGGAAGGAAGGTGCAGAACCCAGCGGTGAAGATGTCGGAGTAATCACTGAAGATGCTGAAATGCTTCATGACCTTGGTAACACTGCAGATGCAGCCGCTGTCTGGCCTCGTTTACTTACTGGAGCCTCCCCACAAAGCTGAAGTATCTGAGGTTTTACAAAGAGCTGTGACGGAAACGGTCTCTCGACAAAAAACAAACTGAATGGATCCACACACTGAGCTGCTGATGCGCTTTGAAACGATGTCTGGATGTTTAACAGACTTTCCACTTGTTCACGTGAGGTTTTCCTTTTATGTCGGTCAGGGAAGAGCAAAGAAATAAAACGGAGAGTGGAGCGAGTGAGGAAATGACTTATTTTTTTAGAAGTATTTCCTGTGACACAGCACCGTTTGAAAGTTTCTCTGGGTTTGGATTGTGCAGGTCCAACAAGTCCAGAAGGTTTTTGTTGAGTGCATGTTTGGATCATATTCAGAGAAAATATATTCAGTTTTTTCTCATAAACTGACTCCAGTGTTTCCTCTGGTTCTGGGAGTTTATCTTAGAATATTAATGCCAGCTGATGGTTGTCAGAGCTGAAGGGTAAAGCTGGTGATTCCCTTTTTTCACATTAATAGACAACAGATTCAAAAAGTAAATTTATTTATGCATTTTCTGTTTCTCTCCACTTCCTTTCTGCTACGAGTCCCTTTGTTGTTGGTTTGACAACAGTAACAAATTTAAAAATAGAAAATGGCAGCTATGATCACATTCATGTGAAACAGAAACACTTTTCCTACGTATTTGCTCTTCAGTGAAAACTGTTCAACATTAAGCTCGGTGAAGAAGAAAGAACATGTTCACTGATACTCAAACAGACGTTTGTTCCACTAAAGTGCTTACTTTAATTTACTTAACTACACTGTGTGGAAACTGTTGACATATCCTGGTTTAGTAATCAACTTAAATATTCTACGGTTAAAGTAAAACCCAGTGACTGCCTCACTGATGCCAGTCAGGTAAGTGTGAGCTGCAAAGTTTCACTGGTTTAACTAAAGTTGTGTTTACATGCGTGAGTTAAGTTAATGAAATATATTTATGTCTGGATTCATCAACACTTTATTTATGTGAACACAGACAATCAGAGCTGAGCAGGTTCGGCTGGAATGACCTGATCTGGTTATGTTGGTTACACACACACGCACACACACACACACACACACACACACACTTAACTGTTTCTTGCATGATTTTTTCAACTCAAACCTAGAGGTTGTAAATGAACATGCAAGGACACACACACCACACACACACACACACACACACACACACTGGGCTTATTGTTGACATAACTGTGACGTAAACAAACGATTTGTGTGCATGTGGACACACAGTCTTCAGATGTGACCTTGTTTTAAATCCTCTTTGTGTGCTTTTGGCAGTGTTGTAATGTTGCACATGTTTGCACTGGATACATTATTAGTTTCTCTCTAACATAAAGTTCTGTTGGGTTACATTTAAAATAAAAAACAAACATTTACTGTCCAGTCATTATTTCTGGGTTGTTCCTGAAACTGATGAAAGTTTTCACATTGGCAGGTAGAAACCCAGTGAAAGGATATAAGAACGTGGAGGGATGGGGAGGGCAGGGTGACAGCCTACATGACTTCATCGTGGGACACATTTTACCACGTCAGCTCACCCAGGATCACATCTTTAATTATCTTAGCTTAGAAGATGCTGGCAAACTCTTTTGTAAATCACAGGATTGATTTCAGTCGGTGACGGTACAGGTGCGGTAAACGAGTCTGTGGCTCTTTGGAGAACATACACAGGAAACCTTTGGAGATGATGGCTAACAGCTAATGTCACATACTGTGAAATTCATTTCAAACAGCCTCATGTTCCTGGACATTAACATCACATCACTGTGCTTTTGTCTCTGCAACATCGATATCAGGAAATATCTGTCAGTGTTGTCACACGAGAAAGACTAATGATAATATTAACTTTATTTATAACACAGAGTTACAAAATGGTTGTGGTAATAAATAAAAGCCAGTGTACATGTTAAAGCATCCAGACACACACACACACACACACACACACACACGTATGCATGAAGAGAAAAGATTAAGGGTAAAATCACAGCGCTTTATACAACATGCCTCATTCACACACAGTGCTTGAAACAAACAGAGAGGCAGTCTCCCAGTTTGGGTGCAACAACCTCAAAAGCACCTCTGGTTTTAAGATCAGAGCGAGGGACAGTGAGAGAGGCCAGCAGCACTGATACGGGCTTAGAAAGAAGCTGTGTCAGCAGCGGTGTCCAACTCCAGGCCTCGAGGGCCGCTGTCCTGCAGGGTTTAGATGTGTCCTCGATCCAGCACAGCTGGTTCAAATGGCTGAATGACCTCCTCAACATGTCCTGAAGTTCTCCAGAGGCCTGGTAATGAACGAATCAGGCCCTCGAGGCCTGGAGCTCCCCACCCTGATGTAGAGAGTTATACTGCAGTAGTGAGAGAATCTTCAGGAGTTCTAACCTTGAAGTAAGAACACCTGGATATTTCATATTCTGAAAGTATTTATACTGAAGCTTAAATCTTTTCCTAAACTGAACTAGGTTTGGTGCCTGAATCTGACTGTAGCTTTAAAATAAGAAGTATTAGCACGTGGGCTACAAGCCTCCACTAAACTCTCCTGACGCACTGGATCATTTTGCTTTGTCCCAGTGAACCCAGCATCTGCAGCCTTCCAGGCACTATTATTATTATTATTATTATTATTATTATTATTATTATTGTTGTTGTCACAGTTCACTCATTGATGCTGCCACACTTGAATTGTGATTGTGTTCTTTCATAGCTGCGTTTGTGTCTGCTGTATGTTGGTCATGAAATATTTGTCCTTGCAGTTTGTGAGAACAGTGGAGTCGCAGATACAAGCCTGGGAAGCCGTGCTTCATATATTCACATTCAACAATGAGCTCTGGTTACTTTAATTCAACACTGCGCTCGTCCCATAGATTCATTATTAATGAGTTCTAATGGCAGCACTGGACTTTGTATTGATCAGGTTTTTCTTGCCTCTGACTAATTATAAAAAGGCTTCGGGGGGGGGTTGTTGGATGGTTTTCATAGAGTAGCATTGTCTCTCTAACTGATCCGTACTGTGAGAGCCTTCATATGGGTCACATGATCCCCACGCTTCTCCCCAGCACAGGTTCTGCAGCACATTGAACATATGCTGTAAATGTAATTGAATTATGAGGCGGTAACTGTAAATATAACCTGTTTAAGACCAGGTTTAGTGTTAAGCATAAACGACTGTGATTTATCTGTTTAAATAAAAGCAGAGAGCAAAGCTCTGACTTACAGCCGTGTACAGAATGACGTGTTTGTTTGTGTTTTGAACCACAGACAGAATCCCGGCATCATCGCCGTTTCTGCTCACTGCTCTTCTTCTTTCTGTCGTTCACTCCTGTAATGTTTGGTTTGTCCTTCGGTGCATTCAGAGCTTTGTATGTTGTGGCTTCACATAAATGTCTTTAATTGCAAATTAAATACTTGGGAGTCAAATCCAGACAATTCGTTCATTTATTAAGAATTAATGAAGAATCTAAAAAAGAGCAGAAGCTACAATCACACATCAAAGCCAGCACGCTGCCTTGACATTACTTATGTCTCTTCTGATTTCTGCATTTCCTGTAAGTCAGACTTGGGTTTATTTCATTTGCATCTACAGCTGAGAGTCAGCACGGAGACATGTGCCACATTGCTGGGAACACCAGGCTGAAAGAAGGGGAATTATCAGAAGCATCCACATTTCTGTTTGTCAGAGGTGCATGTGGTGACAGTTTGAACACTACTGTCAGGTCACGGCCTTGTTCACAGGTAAGCAGCTGAACGTACACATCCTGGGACGTTATTATTAATGAACACAGAGTGATTAAAGTTTGTGACCTTGTAAGAGAAATGAAACAGAACAGGTCTGAATGTTGTGATTTATTATTTCAGAGAAACCCTGCTGTGTCACTCACAGGTCTCAGGGCTGTTGCTGTTCGCTGAGTTATAAATGTTTGTGTGTGGATCCTCTTCAGCCTCCCACAGTCCAGCTTTGCTAAACGCAGCTTTGCTCTTCCTCCTGTCTCATCTTCTTCCTCAGCAGCTCACCGATATCAGCCAGAGGGTTGGTTTTACCTGAGAGTGTCCTCACTGCTCTGCTGAACCTGCTGGTCTCCGTTTCCCTGTAAACACAATAAAGAGTGGCAGAGGTTTCCACAGAGTGTAGTCTGGCTCTCAATCGCTGTAAGAAAGAAAGAAAACTTACAGCAGTTTGCGTTTCTGTGAGCGTTTCATCTGACTGAAATCTGTGGGCTCTGGTCTCTTCACCGGGCTAAAGGGAGGACATCGGACAGAGACACGGGGACACGTTAACACATCAAGAACAGTGACAGTTTCTTCTAATGGTGTCTCCTACTGGTCTTCCACACAGCAGGGACATGCTGCGGGTTTATTTATAAGGCAGTCATTACTTTAATGTTGCTCTGAGATCAGTATGTGGTGGTCACATGACCGCACAGTGTAATCAAACTAAAGATGTTTTTATCAGTCTGTGGTAGAAGCTCCTTCAGGTAGCTCCACCCACACTCTGTGAGACATCTGACGTAGGCCAGGAACAAGAAATGAGCTGATGGGCACAGACGGGGACAGAGAGGGACAGGACAGGGACAGGGAGGGACAGAGGGGGACAGACGGGGACAGATGGAGACAGACAGGGACAGGACAGGGACAGAGAGGGACAGACAGGGACAGAGGGGGACAGATGGGGACAGACGGGGACGGACAGGGACAGTCAGGGACGGTCGGGTACAGAGAGGGACAGGACAGGGACAGATGGAGACAGACGGGGACAGACAGGGACAGAGAGGGACAGGACAGGGACAGAGAGGGACAGAGAGGGACAGGACAGGGACAGAGAGGGACAGGACAGGGACAGATGGGGACAGACAGGGATGGACGGACAGGGACGGACAGGGACAGTCGGGGACAGAGAGGGACAGATGGGGACAGATGGGCACAGACAGGGACGGACGGGGACAAAGAGGCACAGTCGGGGACAGAGAGGGACAGATGGGCACAGAGAGGGACAGATGGGCACAGACAGGGACAGAGAGGGACAGATGGGGACAAAGAGGCACAGTCGGGGGCAGACGGGGACAGACAGGGACAGACGGGGACAGACAGGGACAGATGGGGACAAAGAGGCACAGTCGGGGGCAGACGGGGACAGTCGGGGACAGACAGGGACAGACGGGGACAGACAGGGACGGACGGGGACAGACATTGAAGCTCATTTAATTACTAAAGGTTCCCTGTCTCAGACAGACCTGTGGTCATGAGAGTCAGCTGACTGTATAGGAGATATCTGACACGGATCCAAATGAAAGCATCACTTAGTGTTTGCTTTTGATATTATTATTATTGTCGTTGTTGTTGTTGTTGTTGTTACTACTGAATAGTGTTAAAGTTGGACTTTGATGAACCCAGGCCTGATTACTGCTGCTTGAATAACACATTTACAGTTCAAGGTTTGTTTTTTTTGTCACTCATCATGAACACGACAGAACAAAGTGAAGTACAAATTCTCTAAAATACAAAGAAAGTGATTGAGAGTAAAGATGTGAAAACCAGCACATCAGTGTACAAAGATGACAAAGTTTCTGAGGACTGTGGTGAACCATGGTGAGAGCCACAATGGAAAAAACTGGACTGACGACTCATCAGAGTCCAGAAAAAGATGTAAGTGCAGGCCCGTGTCAGCAGTAAAAACAGTGGTGCTTGTGCGATGGTCCATAATTCATTTTGTGTCAGTATAGTACGCACTGATGGACACGCCTGCGGAAAACAGTTAAGCTTAGAAAATCTCTTTATTATTGAAATAAAACGTCATATTTTGGCCTGATCAGCCCAAAGTAAGCTCATTTTTCTAACCTCTGCTCATTTCTACTAAAATATTTGGTAATTAAGAAACGGACAGCGAACACAAGTGAGAGCAGCCAGTAGATGAAGCCTCATCAGCCACAAACATGCTGCAGGATGCCATTAGTCCTGATTTGCTGTCTTCAAGGACAAAAGAAACGGGATCATTTTGGGCCGCTGCACTTGATAATCAACAGCCGTCATGTTGACACTTGATGCCTGGCTTGCTCAGCGGTCACCTTGGCACTTACACTTTGATTTTCCTGCTTTTGCGGCAAGCGGCGGGGGCTGTGGAAGCTGGGGAGATGAGCTGAGAGAGATCCGGTAAGGCGTCGGCCAGCGGCCTCATGTCTCCCACTACAGGAGTGGCCTGTCGCCGGACCTCGGCTGCTTGGAGCTCTTTCGCCTGCTTAATGGAGCTGATCTCTGAGAAACAGCAGCGAAATTATTACAGTGAGACATATAGTTACAGAAAATGTCAGTACAAGATGTGAGGTTTCTATATAACACTTATTCTTCTTCATGTTATTACTGAAGTCACTGTGATGTGCCATCGTGGGACAGTTATCCAGTTTCATTGTGCTATTGTAGGACTATGACACCGTTATCTCTTACATGTGAACTTAAACATGTCAAAGTTGATTTAAACTGAGATGTTACATTGAGTTACAAACGCAGTGTTTGCAGACTACAGAATAAAGACGAGGGACGCCACTCTGTGATGACAGCTCTGTGACATCACGCCTCTGTGGTACTTTAACAGGTTTTATCCATTTTACTGTCACTTAATTCTTTTCAAACTATTTTCTGGCATCACAGTGAAAATGAGCGACGTGTCTCCCAAAACAGTAAGAAGAAGTATTGATCCCAAAGGAACCTTCATGCCAACTAAACTCCACAGCTGATGACCAAGTACCAGGATTCTTCTGTCAAACAGCTGAGCCCAGTGATGTGGAAACTAGGGGTGGGGAAAAATGGATACTGTGTAGCATGGTGATATTTTGTTTGCTAATAATGTATGGATACAGGGACAGCAGAAATCGATATTTTGTTACAAAATGGTTTTTGTGCTCTGACTTCAGAGCATGTTGATCCTTTTTCTGAGCAAGAATCCTGACATTCCTTCACTGTCCAAATGTGTTTAATAAACATGACAGTTTACTTATTTTAATTTAAGACATGTTTTATTTTAATGAAGTTTAAAACTTTTTTATTTAATGTAAAATTATATTTTGTTTTAATTTACTTTCAAATTCTTCAGTTGCTGAAGGGGCTGCATAGTTTTCATAAACTGCATAGTTCAGAATAGCTATAATTGTACCAGATGGTTGATTCAGTTAAGTTGGACTAGACTGTAATACAAACCGTTCAGTTTGTCAACAATAAAACTGAAATGAGAGAAAGACTGAGTGTGAGACTTTGATATTAGAGAAAATGAATATTGATAAAGTTTACCTTTATGTACAGAATCTGAATATCGCAAAATATTTAAAAAAATTGCAATAATATCGTAAGTATTGTGTAAGTATTGTGATAATATCGTATCGTGGGATGTATGGTGATTCCCACCTCTAGTGGAAACAAACCATTAAAGTATGTACTGCATATTTCTTACTGCCCAAACATCAGAATTACTAAAGTTCAGTAATTCTGGAAATGAATCTTCTTTCCTTAACGTGTCCATTCAAGCTGTACATCTAAAATGAAAGCTGGACGTCCTTGGCCATCGGAGCCCAGACTGTAACACTGGGACGATCCACTGTGGCGCTGGTTTAGGGTTTCAGCAGGGCTGAGACATGAAGCCATTAGTAACTAATTATACGCCTGAAGAGGAAACGTGTTGTGTTACTGAAGAATTGATTGGCTCATCACAGGGCTACTGTTACAGGCCAATTAGCTGAAATGTGGAGAGAAGATTCCTAATTGGAAGAAGATGTCGTTTTTAAAACCTTTAATAATCTGTGTTACATGAAAACAACTGAGATCACACAAACTGTTCAAAGCTTCACACACAGTTTCCAAACACGCGTGTCCACGGTGAGTGGAGTGTAACGGGTTCAGCTTCTCCACAGAACGACGCGTCCGACTGTTTGTTGCTTTGAATTCAGTTCTAGCAGCACTGAGGCGACACCTGGACCGCACACAGGTCCCACAGGCAGCCGAGTCCGTCTGGACGGCACATCGAAACCTGCCATTGTTGTTTCTGATGTTTTTGAAGAGTTTGTGGACTACAGTGGGGCTCGAGCACAGAGCGATCAGACACTTCACCTCAGCCTGGAAACTAACCCTAACTCAGTAATTAAAACAGTAACAGTGAAGTGATCCAAGACAAAAATATTACATTAATAAGGATGAACACAAGCCAACGTGGCAGAGTGTGTTTGGACTGTTTACTTAGATGAAAATATGTGTTGGCCTGAGAGTGTTGGTAAGAAATGGAGCTGTACGACTGAACCACAGCTGACAGAGTAAATAAGAGCAGGTTACATCGTTGTGTCCGTGTGAACTCACTGCTGAGCCACCGCTCCCTCCTCTCCTTCATCTTTTCTTTCTTTGACTGCATTTTCTTGGTTTCTGTGCCTGTAGAAACACAAACAGGAATATCAGTCGATGTAACAGCACACATCCCTCAGCAGTGAGACGGGCCTATGAGAGGCAGCTTTATGTGACTCATTGCAAACCTTCCTTCTTGAACAGGAAACAAAGCCTCGTGCTGCACAAACCAGCACTGACACTCCGTGCACGTATCAGGACCAAAACCAGCACCACTGAATGAACGCTGGGCTGGGAGCTCAGTTTATGATCATTAAGATGCAGATTGTCACTGATCAACACCAACAGTCACTTGGATGAAAACATCCAGATGACCAGAATCAAACCTGCACAGGTTTCGATGGGCTCTCTGTCTTACCCTAACAGGAACTGCCGAGGATTTGTTTAAGCTAGCGATGGGGAGACATGCCTAACTCAACATCTTGTACGTTTGCTCACTTACAAAGAATGAGCTGTCTATCATTTTTATCATGTCTAAATGTAATGGAGAGACAAAATACCAGCCAAGGCAACAACAGACTGGCTAAGGAAGAGGCCCATTAAAGGCTCCCCAGTCTCCAAACGTCAGTCCTCCAGGACATCTGTGGAGGGAGCTGAAGCGTGGAGTTGTTTGTCGAGTGGAGTGGGCCAAGATCCCCCGTGAGATGTGTGCAAACCTGCTGCTCATCCAACAATTATTCACCCCACTGTATGTCAGCCAGTGTTGTTCAGACAGGCATGTTATCTCCACACTGTGAACAGCGCAGACATCCCAGCAGGCCTTTATCTACCAGCACAGCACCAAACAACACAAGTGTTTTAACAGGCAAAGATAAGCATCTGCCACTGACTACAACTGTGAGCACAGGTGGAGGAATCCAATCTTTCACAAGTAGGTGGGGGTTTCCAGTGTGTTTGTTAGGCAGGGGGCATGCTTTCCCACCACTGTTCCCACTGGGAGCCTCATTTTTCCACTGTCAGATGAAATGGATCTCTGTGATTGAGGTGGGCAGAAGACGAGTTCTCCACCTAAGCGTCGTACATCCACCACACCGCACACACTGCAGAGTAAGTGATATCGAACAGCTGAAGGCAAAGGAGAAAACAACACCACAGCAGGGAGAGAGAAGACTGGTTCAGCACATCACAGCTTTGCAGCTGCTTTAGACGACTCTAAGTCGTTTCACGGAGGCCTTCATATACACGGAAGAACCAAAACAGGCTCATTAAAGACACACACACACAATTATGCTGTTTTTCTGCCTCTGTACATTTCAAACTTGAAACTGCTCTATTCTCAAATTACAGAGATACTGAAGTCTTCTTACCTGTTGTTGCTTTTTCTCGGTTGTTCTCAAATGCTGAAATAAAATCAAAACACTGAGTGAAAACCAGCATTTACACTCCGGGGTCTGAGCACAGAAACCTAAGATTAACTGCAGCTGGTTTCACAGCTGAACAAGAGAGACACTCAATCAGCTCAACAACTCGACTGAATTTCATTTTATTTCTAAATCACATCAACAGTTTACAGAGATTCAAGCATAGTTTGTTCCTGTCACACCCTTTTTAAAAATTTTGAATATCGAGCAGCTCTGTTAGGTCCCAAACATGAAATATTTCTCTCATCAGCATTTTAATAACACTCATTTTAATAAGTCAGACACTAGGGGTGGGCGATATAAACGATATACGATAGAAACGATATAAATTTGGCCAACGATAGAGATTTTAGACTATATCGCTTTATCACGATAGCGCATGTTGATGATGTCATCAAACTGCGCCTGTTTTGGTCGAAAGCATCGCAGTGGCTACAACCATTATCATCTGCAAATTATGCCGACAGTCATAGCAAAGAGATGAAGCACTGTTGAAATATGGGGAAAGCCAAAAACTGCGCTTCCTCCACTTCTGTAACATTGATTCATTAATGTTGAATTCTCTGCAGCTGCTCTGTTCCCATGTTGTTGCAGTATATTAATAACTAGCCTCGTATTGTGGATGAATAATCTCAGTTGTTCTCCTGACTGAAGTTTGGCCCGTGTACAGCATCCTGCTATGCGACTGCATTTGTCCCTGACCACCAGAATCCCTCACGTTAACTTTTATCGAGTGGAAAAAACGTTGGTGTGCTAATGTTATGCTAACATAGCTGTGTCGCTAGCAATCACGTAGCACAACATTATATACCAGGTAGTCCAACTTCAGTAACCCTGCAAACGCCACTTCATTTATGTTGGAAGTGATAACAGAGCTGTACGTTTGAATTTGTTTCCAAAACCCCGCAGTCAGGACATGCTATATTGTATTTAGATAGAAGCTAGCGAGCTAACTTCCTGCTAACTTCTAACTCCGTTAAATGTAATAAATTCTGTTTTCATAGATGTTAAACTTCAT